ATCTTGTAAGGTCTTACAAGACGTGGTTCACCTGAGTACTCCCAAACACAAAAAGAGTAGTGAAACTCAAAAACGTTTCTTAAGTGTAGAAAAATTGGAAATTTGTTTCGTCAGCCATTCTGAGTATCAAAAGGCGGTGTTCTTTCTTAGAGAATGTATTAATTTCAGCAGTTTTCTGATGTTCAGTCAAACAAACCAATGAGAAAAGATAAGTTAGCGACAGACGTAGTCAACCTTTCAATTGCAGACCAACTTCTCTGTTTTTCATCTCGCTATGTCACTCGTTGGCAACAATTAAATAGGAGCTATCTCGACTTAATCTTACATTCCATTAATGAGTGAATTTTACAACTTTGTTTTTGTTTCCATCTGTATTTAAATCGTTTTTGTTTCTCTCATACTGCAAGCATAGCAAGAAGCGCGAAGGCCTAGCTAGTGCAAACAAAGCAATCGCAATAAAAAAAATAAGTCATACGATGTTGTAATAAAAGTGTTTTAAGATCAAGTACAAGGTTTGGGATTTTGTTTGTTGGTTCAGTGAGGAGAACAGTTCTAAATCGAGTAAAGGATGAGCAAGAACAGAAGTAATGATAAAGGGACTCAACACTTACGTTATCACAAGGACAAAAGGGATTATCCACTCTGTTCTTATAAAAGCCTACGCGACAATGGCAATAGCTAATATCAGCTTCTCGATTAGCTACTGGAGGCATCTTTACTTGGATTTGTATGGGCATTAGGCAAGCTTTCAACCCGGTGACAGTTTGACAGTCCGTCTAGCTTCAAGAGGTAATTTATTATATTCACGTGCTGTGCGAAATAACATTGAGTCGTATACCATATTTAAACGACAACGAATGGTAGGAATGAGTTGCCTCTCTCGACCACGCAGAGAATAACCAGAAGATTGGGGATTTTGAGCGGCGAACAATAAATTTTTCAGGTAGGAGGGCGCCTTACTTATAACAATTTTATGAAGTAGAGTCACTCTGTGACGTATAAAAACAGCTGTCAGAGATTCCCAACCTAGATGGTGAAGAACACTCTCAGCCGAATCAAACAATATAGCTCCAGAGACAGCTCTAGCAGCTGCATATTGAGCTGATTCAAGGCGGGCTAAGTTCCTATCCGATGTATTCCATAGATAGAAGACGCATAGCTGAATTGATTTAAAATATTTGACTTATAGACAAGGGCCAACGCTCTCCGAGACAGCACACGTGTATGAAGTTTTAAAAGACCAATTAAACGATTGATCCTATGCAAAACATAATCAACATGTGCCGTCCAGTCGAGGTTGGACTGATGATAAGTACTAATCGTTTATGCTCAGAAACGTAAGGAATAGTAGTATTATTTAATACGAATGGATGGTAACAAGAAATGAGTATGCTGACGAACTGAGACGAGCGTCGCTTTACGCTTATCAGCATTTAGGTCTAGCTTTTAGGCTATTAACCCTTTATAAATACTAATTAAGTCAGTATTTACCTGATCAACAGTTTTTGAAATATCGTTACTCTTTATAATGTAGTGAAGTGAAGCATCATCCACAAAAAGTTTAATAGTAGATTTTACGTTCTCCATTATGTCATCTATGTAAATTAAAAAAAAGAAGAGGATCGAGAACACTGCCATGCGGTACGCCCTTATTAATCTTTTTACGTGTTGATGTAACACCTTCAACCATAGTCACAATCTCTTTGTCTGACGGATAACTGGAAAACCAGTTTAGCAAGGGAGAAGGTACTCCTTTTGCCTCTAGTTTCATGAGTAATCCTTTGTGCCATACAGTATCTGCGAAAATCTAGAAAAACAGCCAAAACTTCTTTGTTGTCGTCAAATGCTAATAAGATTTCATGTATAATGGCTACTAACTGATTTACTGTTGAATCACCTCGTTGAAAACCAGGCTGGTTCCGGCTAAGGAGTTCAAAGCAAATAAAATGCTCATACAATTTACGATGTATGATGCGCTCTAGAATTTTTGAAAGGATTGGTAAGAGAGTTATAGGACGATAATTTGACGTATGAAATCTTTTTCTGAATGATTTCAATCTTTCTTAAGAAAATATGTCAGGATTATTTTTTAAAATAATCCGGAGATGATTGCTAAAGTTGTTGAAGTAGATGATAGACCTTTAGCGACATCTAATATTTCCCAACGTGTTTATCTGAGCTCTGAAATGATGTATGCATTGTATCCAAACTGAATATTAGATGTGAAAAGGGGATTTTTATATTAATCAAACGACGGGCAATTCTAGCCAGCGATATTTTTCCAGTTACTGTTTGAAACGAAACGTTGAATAACAAAAAAGTAGCCCATGTACTAAAAATCGCATAAAAATCGCCAATTAATCGCAATTAATTGACGATTTTTTTCTAGGTACTAGATTCGAACCCATCTTAGGAAATACATATTTTTTCTGTTTTTTCATTGTTTATTACGTATAATGACATGTGCGTCACACAGCAATGGTCTTAGCACCAGCTGGCGTCGGAGTCTTGCTGACGAGTCAGCTTTAAACAGTGGGCCAACTTTAAAACCGGCTGTTCAATGGGCTTCTCGGTTTAAAACTCTGAGGAACAATAAAGACTCTTGACAACTCCGTTGTATACTAAAATAAAAAGATGATCCGAATATAAGTGTATTTTTCGCTGAAATTGTGTTTCTTATATACAAACTTTATTGCAAAAGAAAACGGTGAATAACAACAACCATTTAATCACTTAAAATCAACAATTAATCGCAATTAATTGATGATTTTCGTGATTAATCGCGATGGTTGACAAAGTCATCGATTAATCGCGATGGACGAAAAAAGTATCACTTAATCGCGATTAAATGACCATTTTTTCCCGAATCGCGATTGAGCGTCGATTTTTTCAACCATCGCGATTAATCGACAAAAATGAAGCGATTTTCAGCACATGGGAGCAATCTAATCAATTCCTTCCCTAGATATAAAAAAAAATATAGGATTCCTATAGGAATCTTACAGAAATCTTATAAGAATCTTATGCTACAGTCGATAGAAATGCATACTGTGCTAATAAGATTCTTATGTAATAAACTTATAAGATTCCTTTGAAAATTTATAGGATTTTTATAGTCAAAAACAAAAAAAAACTTTTTTTTTGTTGCCTGAAGCACGAGGACAAAGTTTTGAACTTTGAAAGGACCCTCGCGAATTTGGTGACCCCCCCTTGAAACAAGAAGCTAAGTATATAGTTTTGTAGAGTAGCTCAAGACGCATCGAACGGTATATAGTGAAGTTCGTTTTTATCTCGGCATACAGGATCTAGAGTCAACTGTCTGGTCGGCCATCACGATAGCCATCTGAACCTATATCGCTTTTAGTGCCAGTCACAAGAAGCGAAAAAAATATTTCCAATCTATACTTTTGTAGATATCGTTTTAGGCTACACGCTGATATATTCGACTTTTCAGCTCGCCTGATATTGTTGGAGAAAAATGAGACTTTTCATCGATTTTAATGTTCCTCAGTATTTTGAGTCGTGTACTTCACAGGAGAAGTGATACTTGGCCGATATAATGATAACATCCAAACGCTATATCTTTAATGACTGGCTCCATCTGTTTGGATATTCTCACGTTGTAGAGAATTTCAAGGGCTATCCAATGGTATGTTTTTGAAATATACATAATTTTTCATTATGGCAGAAAAATAAGTAAAGGAGTGTTTAAAACACTAAGATAAGTGAAAATCATTATATTGGCCAAGTATCACTTCTTCTGTGAAGTACACGACTCAAAACACTGAGGCGCATTAAAATCAATGAAAAGTCTCATTTTTCTCCAACAATATGAGGCGAGCTGAAACGTCGATTATATCAGCCTGTAGCCCAAAACGATATCTATTCTATTCTATGCTAATTTTCGATACTATACAGTACATTCGCTATACTCTCCTTACATCCCGAAAGTAGCACAGCCAAAATGTGGAAAAATACTCCTAGAAAAGAAAATTTGAATGTTTACGTTCATAAGAATCACTTCTGAGATGAATCTATGTGAAAATCGGTGAATACTTTTGAGAAAACATGGCTTACTATTCTAATGACGATACAGCACGTTTCATTCTAGCATTAGCCCTACTCAGCTAATTCTTACAAATTTCTATAACCAAACTATCAGACTTATTATTAATAAACTTTTATGAATCTATTCCAACATTAGTCCTGTATTTTTGAGTCGTATATGTAGTCAGTAAAACTTAGCTCAGTCTCTTATCGTAGTCCATTCTGCACCGTTTGTTCGTGGTTGAACAAGTTTGACGCTGGATGATAGTATTAGAAAAAGGTCGAAACGAACTAGAAACTATACAAACTGAAAGCGGAGACTGTTCTGCATTAGATGCATACCTTTTTATCAAAATTCATAAAACGTTTGATAGGAATTTTGATTGATTATCTCAAGTCTCACCAACTTGGACGTCAGGCTTTTTCAAGCTTATACTAGTGTAACTCGGCCAAATCATAGGAGATTTTAATCAACTTTTTTTTCAGTTGATAGATAAAACATTTCTCAATCCTACAATAGCTTTAGAAATTCAAATTTTATTGACTTAAAACGTAAAATCTTTGATTTTTGAACGACCACGTGAATTTTTTTCTACAATCTTCTTTTCCTTTTTTTTTCTGTTTCTCTCTCTTCACACAATGGATGGTGCCCTGTGCGGTTCGATGATGTGTATATAAATATAGACGTCAAAGAATATCTCTATTCATAACAAATTTTCGTGTTTAAGGTAAGTGAAGAAGGAAAGAGTTTGTCTGATCAATAACCATCCTTGTATTTAGACGTGTTCGTTCATTATCCATCTTTCTCTTCTACAAACTATTTTTATTACAAAAACCAATAGTTCTCATTAGGTATGTAGATTTGACGTAAACTCCTGTACATCATAGTATCTGCTATGTCTACTTTTTAGAACTGTTCCATCTCAGTGTTAAAAGTAACAATAGTAATAATTATGACAGAATCAACATCAGCTCCAGTTCAAGCTCAGGCTCAACCATCAACGCCTCAAAAACAAGGTTCATCAGCTGCCGGCAGTAAAAAGAAGACGGCTGGTGCTAAAAAATCAGCTTCATCGCACCAGTCAAACCATCCGAAATACGCTGATATGATAAAAGCGGCTATTGTACAATTAAATGATCGTGGTAAGTTGGAAAATACCTGTCTCTTGTCTCTAATTTTTTATCGTTTTTAATTCATAGGTGGTTCAAGCCGTGCTGCTATTCTGAAATATGTTTTGGCGAATTACAAAGTTGAACCACAATCAGCGAATCAACATTTGAAAGTTGCACTAAAAAATGGTTTAAAGACAAATTATTTTCGACAAACGAAAGGTAAGTTTACTACAATTGTTTTTGATTATGGGATTAATTTTTTCTCGTTCATGCTAGGCACTGGTGCTAGTGGATCATTCAAATTGGGTACAGCTACTGGAAGCAGTAAAAAAAAAGTAATCAAATCAAAATCGTCCACGTCGGCTAAAAGTGCAACTGGTACTCCGAAGAAAGCAAGTGGTACTCCAAAAAAAAAATCAACATCATCGACAACTGCAGCTAAACCGAAAAAAGCCGCAACGGCCAAACGTTCAACATCGCCATCGAAACCCAAAGCTCCACGTGAAGGTAAAATAAAGTGTATTCTAATGTGGAATCATCGTAATGACCGCTATCTGACCTCTATGCCAAGGAATAAATTATTATGTCTGATACTGCTTTGATTTGTGAGAAAAGTCAGTCATTTTAACACTTTTAATCTATTTTGTAATTTTCTCTAAAGCAATATTTCTTTCTCGAGTAGAGTAGTACGACTTATATATTCAAATACGAACTATTTCTATTGTGATAGGTGAATTGTGAATAATTTGATATTTTGGTATTTAATTATATGTTTGTTTTTCAGCCAAACCCAAAACTAAAGCTTCGACAAAATCAAGTACAACATCAACAAAAAAGAGTGCATCAGCTAGTGTTCCGAAACCGGCAACGACCAAGAAAGCTGCTTCACCAACGAAAGGTAAACAAAACAGACTTTTACTTTATAAGTGATGTAATGAGAAATTGCATCTTAGGAAGTTCGATTCGATATGCTTCGAAAATTTTAGTTGAATTTTAGTTGAATCTTTGCTTCATCAAGTTATTTCAATTTTTGTTCTAGCTGCTACTAAACCGAAATCAACAGCATCGAAGCAAAGTGGTGGAGTGAAAAAATCCGCTTCAGCCACGAAAAAACCAAAAGCAGCTGGGGTTAAATCGGCATCGTCCAAAAAAGTAGGAAAAAAAGCAACACCAAAGAAAACTAAGAATTAACGCCGTATAAAAACAAACGTTGGACTTCATTTTTTCTAGTAGTTTGTAGTGTCAATTTTCCTTCCCACTATGTGGTTCTCTATATTGTTAAAGCACTCGTATTTACTCGACTTGTTTCATGTGTGCGTGTCAGATAAATAATAAAATGTTTTCTATGTGTATTTGTACGTATCGTACAACTTTGTTAAAAAAGAATTCGTATTTTCTGTGTACACGTTATTTTTTGTTTTTTTTCGCGTATGTACAACAAGCAGAATGATATAGAATACTTAGACGTATTGGAAAATAAACAGAAAAATTGAAAAAGTTGAAATTGATTGATCATACAAGGAAGAGACTAAATCGAATATAATAGAAATATATAAAGCTAAATTGTGCCGTCTGATGCGTAGAGTACAACACGTACAGAGACATCTGGTCTGTTAATGCTCTTTCAGACGTCTGAAGGTGTAAACGAATGTAACTTCCCTTTACACATCACAAATTCGTATGTTTCGTTTCTAACCTTAAACATCTTAAGAATAAATAAAATTTTAAACTGTTTAGGTAGATTTGCTTGACATTTCGCAATTATTTGGTAACAATATAATAACAGAAAAGCTGTCATTTTGAGCTGAACATAGTGTAATGTAGAGGAAAGCCTGGACTAAAATGAGACCACTCAACTCTCCATGACCTTCCTTGAAAAAATTATAAAGTTTTTAAGTTTTTCCTTAAAAGTCTAGAAAATCTCAATTTTTTAGGTTCGTAAATTTTTCTCTCCTTTCCTATATATTCAAAATTTTTTCTTATATATAGCATGATAGCAGAAAGTGTGCTCTTAAAAATGAGATGTTTTTCAGAATTTTCTGATAAGTTTTCTTAGAGACATAAGCACAGCCACAAATGCCCTGAAAAACAGACCCTGTGTGCAATATGTGTTTTTTCCACTATGCGTTTTTTTAACAGTCCCTTTAATTGGCATACATTACGACCCCTCGAAAAAATGGTCCAGTCTCGCTCAAAATTTTACTACAGATACTTCAGATCCTATCTAAGGTTTTTTTTTTTTCTACAACCGTTTTCGACTTCAACTTTTGGCGTGAGAAGGTTTTTAAAATGGAAAACCGGTTTTTTATATGGCGTTTTCAGTATTTTTCGGATATCTCGAGAAGGAATATTTTCGAAAAGAAAAAAAAGAACCTGAGATAGGGTCTGAAGTATCTGTGGTAAAATTTTGAGCTCGATCGGATCATTTTTTCGAGGGGCCGTAATGTGTACCAATGAAAAGTGGAGTTTTCCAGAAAACCCATAGATGAACACGTCAGAAAATTCTGGGCAAAACTATATCGATTTTCTTTTTCGATGTTCTATCTCTGGTATGAATTAGAACCCGATTCGACATCGGCTTCTCTAGTTTCCAAGAGGGTAGAAAAACAGGGGGAGTACTCTTAATGGCTTAGTAATACCTTATTTAGTTAACAAACTAACTTATTACACTAATAATACTCATGCACTTCGTTCTCAAACTTCTAATAAAGCAGTATCATTTACAGGCACGGAAAAATGTCGGATGTTTTTTTCTTCGTTTTGTCGTAGAATGAAACAAATTACCTAGTGAATTAAAAACTTGTACTAAGATATGTCCGTTTAAAAATAAGTTAATATCGCTTTGAATTAAATTAAACATTTTTAGAATAGAGGGAAAATCTGATCGAATCTACTACCAATTAAGATGCGATTTCTTAGATTTAAATTCTCATTTATTTCGTAAAAATTTAGTATTAAATAATTTGTGTTCACGTGGTTTGTTAGAAACATTGATATAGAGCACTTTTTCTCATATGCCATTGTTATACTCTTTGCCGTGGTGATATGAATAAACAAATTATTGATTCGATGTCAATAAAAATTATTATAAAATTACTTTTGTTGAAGTATAACCTGGAACGTGCTGAATTTTTCATCATCTATTTAACGGTTATCAACTTCATCAAAAGTAGCAACGTCATCGTTCGAAACTGGCTTCGTTGTGAATAAACAAACATTTTAAGTTTTGATCAATAGTTTTGCACTTAACACATACAGATAAAATACCTAACCTCTAGACTCTTCTTCCCCTTCTTTTTCATAAGTTTGTTTTTGTATTGCTCCCTTTCTAGTTTTTGTTTTTCTCTTATACACATACCATTAATACCTATTTGTATTATTCATATATGATTTGTTTTCTTGCTCAGATTGCCTAGTAATGCATTTGCTATTCCTGGCTTTCTGCTGTATTCATGCACTTTTAACTTTTCTTTCATAATAAATATAGATTAAACTAATTAGGAGCAGTGGGGTTAAATGCAGGACTAACAGGTCAACATTTCAGAAATGAGGCATTTTGAGCAAGAAGGCGAATTTTAGATGCTTAAGAGGAAGACGAAAAGCTAGACATTCTCAAAGTAAAATTAACCGTTTTCTTGTAGTTATAAACAACTTTATTCCCACATTCTACTAAATTTCACACAAAAACGAAAAAAACGCACAGAACTATACAAAGTAAAAACAATCACAGGAAAATCATAATATTTGTGCTTGCAAATTCGACTATTTATATAAAAAAGCATCAATAATCTTAGTGAAGATATATGACTCAAGTATATGATTACTTCGTTCGTGGTGTTGACCTAGTCAAAGTTTTTCATTTAACTTTTTGTCAGTACCATTGTCAATTTAACATCCAGGACATGAAATAAATTGGATTTGATTTGATTGGAGAAATCGATAACTCTTTTCAAAATTACTTATTTAAGTTGCAAGTACTTCTTCAAGAGTACACTATTCAGTTTTATTGTTACAAGTACTTTGTGAAAGTATTTGGAAGTGAGCTGGTACTTATAAGTAGATTGATTTCTAGAAAAAAGGCAACTACCGGTTTTACTATGTAAGGGAAGCAGTTAAGTCTAGAGATGTATAGGATAATAGTTTGTTGAGCACTAGTCTTACCCTATGAGAATTTTTCAAGCTTTAACTGTACTCTGTCCTGGATAATAGGGTTAGGACGTCCTGTACATCTCTACTTGAGTCCAAGGACATTCATTAGGGAGTCGTTTAAGTATAGCAGGAGCAGAAACAACATTATAAAATATACATATATTTTCCAATGAATAGCAATACCAGCACGCGTAAAGAGTTTAGAAAGAACAGGTAACTACAACAGCATAACTAAGAATGATGAGTAAACAATAATTATCAATTTTTGTAATGCAGCAGTAATTTGATGAAAACCAAGTAAATTACCAATTATAGTTGAAAGATATTTCGATACATATTCCTAAAAATCTTTAATCAACTGTAGAAACATCAGTAAGAAAATCAGTTGACATTTATCTGTAAGCGAAAATAGATTTTTTCATTATAAACGTAATGCAAGTGATTAACGGTTGAACAAAAGGAATATCACATTCAATACGCACGCATTGCAATACATGTAAGTAAATAAATGCAACCGTATTTCGTTTCGAGGACTACACATCCTTTCTTTTGAGCACATCTCACACATTTATATTGTAATTTGTGTATAGAAACAGATAGTTGACATAAAAAATGCAAGAAATTCTCGTTGCCGATTCCAAAAGGAATATCAACGAAGTAAATGAGAATCCCAAGGGATTTTCATAATTCTGACGCACGAATTTCGCGTGTCTTCCATTTTTTTGTCCTATATTTTACTCAAATTTGTGTTCTTAGGTCGTGCTGTCATTTGTACGGATGTCGTAATAACGTCATTCGACATTTTAGTGATCGTTCACAAAAATTTCCCGAGTGATTTTGAAAAGAATGTGGTTTTGTTTGACCAATTTTGTGAGATCGTTGCGTGTTTTAGCTTATGAACTAGAGAGACAACCTATAAGAGCAGTTAAAAACTAAATAAGGCGACCATATCACCGGATCGAAAAATTTTAACAGCATGTTCGATCAAAACCGACTGCAAATTCGTCTTCTTCATAGTGGATTATCCAGTACGCGCTAACTTTTGGATCGGGGTACTTCAGAAAAATTTTTTCTTATGGTCTTGTTCGAAAATTTTGCTAAAAGTTACTGTATGGGGCCAAAGGCAAAACTATGTCGAAAATTTTCTTTACAGTACTCGGGTCCAAAAGTTTTCGCGTACCAGATAATTGACCATGGAGAAGACGAATCTGCAGTCGGTTTTCATCGGATAAACTTTTAAAATTTTTCGATTCGGTGATATGTGTAGATCAAGGTTGCAAAATGTCCTACTTTCGGCGGGGACAATCCTACCAAAAATAAGAGAGTATATGTAATACCATCTAAATATTTGTTGCATTGTGAAACACATTTTTCGGCAACTTGTTGCGTTTTTTATCATGAAGTTGTCATCGTAGTTATGGAGAACAGTAGACCTAAGTTCAATTCAAAACTCTAGTCCGTTTATTTGTAAACAGTAGAATTTGTGGGAGCGATATGACTAAGATGGTTTTCTTGTGATAGTGTTTATTTTTGCACAGTTACACGTGTGGAAGGGCGTGGGCTGGTAAGGCTGGTTTGTGTTTCACATAAAAACGATTTTATTCGATGAGACACGTCTTAGGGAGTTACTAGGGCTATTTCCCACTACTTAGTCTCCTGAAAATTTTGATTAGGCTTTTGATACCTGCAGTTTCTTCCGAGATTCTTGAAAAACTTTTTTTGTAGGTTTTTTTGAAATAAGGTCGGTTAGATACAGAACTTTACACTGATCATGAATATCGCTTATAAAATTTAAAAAAGCTAAATTTTCATAGAAAAAATTAAATTTTAGGGTCACCGAGCACCTGCCGTGCCTTTTACAGATGCTATCCCAGTTATCTTTGGGACAGTTAAAAACCAGTCTGAAATGTGCAGAAATGTTTGCTCTTTAAGAATCTATTATTAGAAAATAGTTTACTGTGCATTAAATGCTCAAAAAGTTTAGAAACAGATGTATATTTCTTCCAGTATTTCTCGAAAATAAATCTTGTTAATAAACGGAA